ATTTACAACAGTCTACAGGGTGTCCCAAAAATGTCTCGCAATCCGGAAATGGCGGGTTCCTCGGATCATTTGAAGCAACTTCTTCCTTTACAAAAATGTTCTCCGAGGCACCGTTAACGAGTTATTAACGAAAAACAGTGACCAATAAGAATCGAGTACGGCTGACGCGAGGCGGCCCAGCCAACCAGCGCGCGAAGCCCAGTTCCGCTCATTGGCTCGATCGCCTCGCGCCAGCCGAGATCGCCTCTCATTGGTCACTGTTTTTCGTTAATAACTCGTTAACGGTGGCTCGGAGAAAATTTTTGTAAAGGAAAAAGTTGCTTCAAATGGCCCGGGGAACCCGCCACTTTCGGATTGCGAGACATTTTTGGGACACCCTATATATACAGACAGAATATACAGTATCAGACTCTGTACAATACATATCAGACTCTGCCGTCCAAAGAAAATAGCCTCGCGCAGAATTCAGCCGTACCTAAAAGGTTAATGCGTCGGTTCTCGAAAGATATTATTTGATTTTATTGCTCGGGGTGCTTTGTTCACTGATAAATCGAAATTGCTGTTGTTATCGACAAAATTAAGGTGGACGCTTAGCTGCGAATCGTAGAGTTTTGGTGAGTAATGTATAAAGAATGCATGTTTCGTGAAAATAAAAATGGAATGAATACAATTTCAGGCCACGCAGGTAGACAATGCGGACAAATATGCGCTCTCGACGATAGTCGTATCGCGGGAAAACGACTGGAGCGTGGAACCCACCGCCGGTAAGCAATTAACAGTCACGTTTGATCGATTCCATTCCTAAAACAGTGCTAATCAATCAAAACGATGCGAATTAGGTGGAAGATTGCCTATCAAGTTCATCAGACGGGATCATCACACGAGTATCCCCGAGAACACGCCACCCGGAAGCGTTTTATTAACGACAGGAGTGAATAAAGTGGATCCCGTGAGTACGAAAAACAAAAATTGATGTTCCTGCTGACGAGATTTCTTATACAGGGTGTCCCAAAATTGTGATACTCCCCGGAAATGAGGGGTTCCTGAGATAATTTCAAGTAACTTTTTCCTTAGCGAAAATGCAATCCACGGTTTCGTTTAAGAGTTATTAACGAAAAACACTGACCAATTGGAGAGCGAGCGCGGCCAGCGCTTCGCCCTTTCAGCCAATGCTGCGTCACGCCGGCCGTCTGACGCAGCGGCAGTGGTCACAAGGGCGGGGCGTCAGCGTTTTTCGTTAATAACTCGTAAACGATGCGGCGGATTGCATTTTCGCTAAGGAAAAAGTTACATCAAATGATCTCAGGAACCGGAAATATCATAATTCATTTCCCGGAAATATCATAATTTTGGTATATATATGTACGTATATCTACAAATGTGTCTGTTCCAGAATTTAAGGTTCTGGCTGGTTGGAGCGATCGAGGATCTAGAGAGATTCTCCATCACGAACTCCGGTGAGCTGATCTTGAAAGGGACTTTGGACTACGAGAGAAGGATCCACCATAGTTTTCTGGTTCGCGTCACCGACGGTCATCATGTGAGTTCGTTAACCCTCGCACACTGTTCGGCTCAATTTCACTCGAACGCGGAACGTACCGTTCGATTTCAAGTTTTCGTGCAGATATACAGAATTAATTGAATGTCAACAGTTTTATTGCACGCAAGAGTTGCGAACTGGAACTCTTCCAGAACCGATTGGTAATCGTAACTCAATTAATAGATTAATTCTCAATACGCGAATGACAGAATTTTCTGAATACTACAGAAAGATTAGAAGAAAGTTTCATTTATAATTTATGAACAACTTCTTTGTACCGCCCTCGTTAAAGTTAGAACAGAAGAAACGTTTATCGAAATTCTGCGCGATTCTGATGGCAATGCGTGCACGCTGAACGGATTTTCTTTCAGAACGACACGTCGCGGGTGAACGTCTCCGTGGAGGATGTGAATGAATGGGAACCCCGGTTTCGTCATCCCAGATACGAATTTCACGCTGCAACCTTGAAAGAGGGATCCATTGTCGGTGAGCCATTTTCTCTTGCATGATTTCGTTCTATGAATTCATTTTAATACCCGGCCATGCGATCTTAATAATGATGATATCTTTAGGGAAACTGGAGGCCGCCGATGGCGACAGAGACGACAAAGTTAGCCTGTCTCTTCGAGGTCCCGATGCAAGGTATTACAACAACGCGAGCATATTCGAATGCTGTGTAAAACAATGTGTAAAGACTATTTATATAACGTACTGAAATATTAACCCTTTGCACTCCGCTGTCACCTCTCGTGGGACATCGTAATTCTAGCATATCACTCGGATGTCCCCTCTCGTGGAACATTAAAGTTTATTAGTGATTACGGGGAATTCAGTTATTTCAGCGCAACTTTTTCAGACATGCATATTTCAATTTTTCAATAGGCCATCGATTGTAAACCCTCTCAATTTTTAAGTCCTTGTCCCCACCACAGTGATAGGGTGGGGGAGGGGGAGTAGCAAATGATGCGCTATTTTTTCTGTTCTACTCATCGGAAAAATCTGAAAAAATTCATAAATCTTCTACCGCATGGGACACAAAACATAACCTTTTCAAAACGCGAGTTTTTTCATCTTCATTTCGTGTTCCAAGTGTTAGTAAAATTGAAAATAAAGCGTTTCAGTCATTGCACAGTAAACCAGTCCCTTTAACATCTCGAAAAAGATTCAATTAATTCATTTCAGTCTGAACGGAGGTTAGTTTACTTAGTCTAGATATCATAAGTGTATGTACAGTGGCCCACAAAAATGTTCGCACACCTTTTAAAATAATAAATTGAACTGTATGCAATAACTGAACCGAATGACCTGAATTTTCTTTAGACGATAAAGTCTACTAGACAATAACTGAAATGCTTTCTTCAGGCACTTAACCCTTTGCATTCGAAGCCATTTTAACTGTGAAACTAAAGTAATTTTTCTGACTTATAGTACCAACATTTAACACGACAAAGTGCGTTTTACGCTTACAAAATTGAATCTCGTGATTCATACAACAGTTACACTTACAGTAACGTTTAACCCTTTGCACTCCGCTGTCCCCTCTCGTGGGACATCGTAATTCTAACATATCACTCGGATATCCCCTCTCGTGGAACATTAAAGTTTATTAGTGATTACGGGGAATTGAGTTATTTCAGCGCAACTTTTTCAGACATGCATGTTTCCCTGAAGTTTCCTCTTGAAATGGCACAAGAAATCAAATCAAAATATAGTAAAATTACTAAGATATATACAAGAAATGCCAGCGGGTTTTGACGAGANAGTAAAATTACTAAGATATATACAAGAAATGCCAGCGGGTTTTGACGAGAACGTGAGAGGCGTGCTCACGACGGTCCGCGCACTTCAAAGGCGCCATTTGAAAAGAGCGATGAGGCAAGTTTGTAGAAGAAAGATCGGCATGCGAACATAGCACGCACTGTATAGAGAGATTTATAATCATAAAATCTGGTGGAAAAGATTTTCAAAGCTGAACTCAGTCTGGTTTGAAGCGTCAAGCGGTATAGATAGGATCTAACGAGTGAGAAAATCGGAAAAGTGATTCTTCTCTTGGTAAATAAATTGTTTGGT